AAAAAAAAAAAGGCGATTCTTGGTTCAAGGATCTTCAATTTTTTTTTTTTATCGTTTTTCCTTCTAACTCGGTGATGCACTAATTCTTTCTTGTATTTTCTTCTCCCATGATGGGTAACTAAATCCATATTTGGGATATATGATTCAACATAATTTTGAAACTTAATCCCTGTTTGGTACACATTAAAATTTTCATTCTCATTTTTCTACTCATTTCAACCACACATTTTTCAATAAAATAATATTTTACATCACATCAATAACTTTTCCTTCTTTTTCAACCACACATTCTCCATCAATCTACTATTCTAGAATACATTCTTTCAAAATAATGTGGATCAAACACACCACAGATTGAAAAACAGAGAGTCGGAATCACGTTTCTAGCATTTCGTCTCCATCTCGTTTACAATTTGAGCAAAGTTAAACTAGAGCTGGTCGGGAACAAGAAACGTCATCGTCCCTTTCGGAAAAAAAAAAAAAGTCTTAGGTGAAGACTTTATCTGTAATTAGAACAACATTAATTATACAAAATAATAAACAAATGAGATTTGTGAAATCTAAAAAGCACGACAATGGCAGAGATCACGGAAATCTTTCGATATGCTCAATAAAAAGAAGCCAAATGAAATTGATAGAAAAGCCAAATCCTTCCTTTCTAGAAGGAAAAGCAGGTGGCAAATTTCAAATAAACAGAGCTAGCCCAGCTAGCTAACTAGCATGACGTTATCATGACACTGGCATGACGTTAGGTTCTTCCAGATATCAGCGTTGAGTATTTGACATGCTAATCTCTCTCTCTCTCTCTCTCTCTCTCTCTCTCTCTCTCTCTCTCACGGTCTTGTTATTTGTAAGTAGAGACATTTATCTAAAATTGGCTTTCTAATTTGTTGTTCATCAATGATTCATCGACACATTATTTTACACTTATTTTAAAGCACAAATGTTAGTGAGAGAAAATGTTTTGACATATTAATTTAAAGTGATATTTGGTGAACAGTAAGTTGGACAGTCAGTTTTGAACATCAGACTTCAACTCGTCATTTGTGCTATATATTTTTTTTCTCTTTTAATTCAATTTAAATATTCTTAACATACGCACATCTAGGTCTGTCTGAATTTTCATTTGGCAAAATTTATTAATTATTTGTAAAGGGTCAAATTGTATTTTTCGATTTCATATTTCAATGAATCCACAAGTATTATCAACTTATTCATTATTCATTAATTTATAAGTTATATCTTTTACAAATCGAATTCTTTATCGAGGTTATAAAAATTGAGTAGCGAATAATATCTTTTGAAGAACGTATGGTTGAAATTTAAAGTAATTTTATTGGTTTGTGTGTAAAATATTTTATTAGGTAAATATGTGGTGGAGAATGCAAATAATTTTTTTAAATAATGGTAGACAAACATGGACTAAATTGTCAAAGGAACTCGTGGAAACATGGATAACTTGTGAATTTTCAAATACTAGTTTAAGTGAGAAGCAAAATCTAATTCATAAAACATGTAATGGTTGTTTTTAACAAAGATCTAGACATTTTTTTTGTAATTGCATATTAATTATAATATTATAATAAAATGTTAGGGAACAGTTTTCTTATTTTAGAGATTGTGGACCAACTTCTCATCACAGATACTCGATTTCTATCATAAAATAAAAAGTATCAATACAATAAATATGAAAATTTCTCGAGTCAAAGCTAATAAATACCAGAAAATAACGAATAGTCGATTAATAAAGACTAAAGGGTAATGCTATTCATAGTCGCTCACTGCAGTAGTTGTCCTATGTGTCACACACATGATATATAGTTATTTGATGCATTAATGTGGTAATTTTTTTTTATCACATTAATGCATTAAATACACAGTTGATATGTGTGTGCCACATAAAACGACTGCTACAGTGATATAAATAACATTATTCATTAATAAATCACAATCTCTATTGCTTGTTCAAACCATACATTTCATCCCTGTCTATTGTCAGCTATTAAATTCTTGTCTGCTTATTTCCTAAAAACATTGACCAATATAAAAAAATGTACATTTCTTGTCCAATAATATCGTTCAGCATCATCAGTCTTAAATATTCGTCTACCTCACAAGTGCATGGCATTAACACCCCATTTGGCCCCCATTATTTGTCATCTTAATTAGAATGATATTGTTTTCTTGAAAAACGTATAGTTGATAAAAAGAGAGAAAAATTAATTATAATTTTAACAGGGGATAAGCCAGTGTTTGAGCCCAATTTTTTCTCATCAAAATGCATTCTTAAATAGTGATTTAACTTCATTTCAACAACACATTATTAAACAGTGATTTGACAATATTTCAATCATATTTTTTTAATAAAATAATATTATATGCAAATTCAAAAAAATATTCTTATTTTTTATCAACGCATTCCAATTACAACACTATT